TTATTTTTTATGTTTTTTTTATTATTATTATTATTTCATATTCATATTTTTCATATAACGTTCTGTGTGTGTGTTATTACCTCAGAAGAAGCGTTGCTCCTGATTATGTTTACTAATTCAGATAATTTACCAGCTATTTACAATGAGAACCCCGAAGCAATGAAGGATTATTTCCAGAAGCTGATAGACCTGATTGAAGATGCAGACAGTAATGATGTCGTAGACAGACCCAATCGACAGACCCAACAAAGAAGTAGGAAATAGAGTATAAAGAATATTGAATCAAAATATAAATGGTTTGTAAAAACAGAGGTAGACATTATTTTAAATAATAAAACAAAGGACAAACATCCAACAACAATTTTAAAGGTCATCAAACATATGAATACACATTTAGAAAATAATAATTTTACATAAGATGCTTAATTAGCCTAATTATAAAATATATATCTAAGTCTGGCAGATAACAAATAATACGTATGGAAAACGACAAGGTAGTCTAGATCATATGAGTACCATAACGGAAGTTGTTTACAACTATTAATAGACAATTATAAGTATTTTAAAACATCGATAGAAAATGTTTAAAAAGCATGACACGGCAAACGATTCATGATAACGGCTAAAACTATCGTTTAACTTTGCAAGAAATAGTATTATCGTTAAATTAAGTGTTAATTTACCTGAGTTTGTGTAATTTTACTGCTGTCAAATCTTTGCGTGAAATACGATATGAGTTTAGACTTGATCTGCCAGACGCACAAAAGAGTAAACAAAATGACTAGCTACAGACTACTACTATTTTCTTCTACACAACTTACAAATATTAATTATAGATGAAATTTCAATGGTAGATCATAAGCTTTCATGGGCGATTAGGGCAAATAAAGGGTACCGATGAGTTATTTGGAAATATCTGTGTCATATGTTTTGGAGATATGTGGCAACTAAGACCAGTTAAAGGTAATAGTTTATGTCATGAAAGTGTCATAGACCTATGGAACGGTAATTTCAAACTTGTTGAACTTAATGAAATTATGAGACAAAAAAATGATTTAGCCTTTGCCCAAACATTGAATAGAATTAGACAAAGAAAAAAAAGTGAACCAATGCTTGCTTCAGACTTCAAAATGTTACAGAGTAGGGTAACTGTCTGCACATATTTTCTACTAATCAGCAAGTTAATGATTATAATTCTAGAATGATTGATGAAAAATGCCTGATTTCTGTGTCCATCAGTGCTCTAGATTATTCTAAAGATGTTAAAACCTGTAAAATGACGCTTAAAACAACATGTGTTAAAGTGACTGATACACCATTAGTGTCTTGCTTAAAAATAGGTGTAGGGTCAAAAGTTATGTTAGTAATTAATTTAAATGTTTCTACTGGCTTGATAAATGGAAGTTTTGGTCAAGTAACATTCATTCAAACTGATCAGAATAATCAAACTGACAAAATTTTTGTAAAATTTGATAATGCTAAAGTTGGAATAAATGAAGACAGTGTTCCACTTCCGCCAAATGTACCACATGGTAGTATTGGTATTGCGAGATATGAAAGCCCTTATGTTAACTATAAGGGCGATGTTAGACGCCAGTTTCCATTAGGTCTCGCCTATGCAGTTACTATTCACAAAGTACAAGGTCTAAGACCATATCAACTGATACTAATATTATTTTACACAATGTTCAGGGTTTATCTATTCATATAGAGGATTTACAGAAACACAGGAAAATGCTAGAAGGTGATATCATTTGTTTAACAGAAACATGGCTAAATAATTC